ATTTAAGTAATCTTTCTCTTTTCACACTATTAGTGATTATTTTAGCTTAATTTGAATGAAATAATAGCTATTTAAATAAGTACTGGTAGGTTTAATTTAAAATTATTTATGTGTATAATTGTATTTTTTGATTTTGATTGACTCAAGCAACATCTTGAGCAGTTACTGTCATATGATAGGGATGGTGAACCTTTTTAAGTCCATGTGCCATATAATAAGCATTCTTATCTTCAAAAATGTTTGTGCATTCCAAAGTTTTGAACTTCAGCACAAACAAAGATTCTATTTCCACCACAGCTTCTCTATTTCTTCCATATGACTTAACCATAATGATGGATACCATCATAAACAGATGACTGCATATAAAGAAACAAATAAACTGACAACCCTTTAAGCGGCAAAAACAGTATTTTGTAATGAATGGTTTTGGTCTTATTAAAAGATACCATTATCTTTGATTTTCAAATTGACAAGTTAGAAGTTTATTTTTGTGAATGCTGAACTTTCAGTGTAAACCAGAAATATTGTAGCTTTAAAATTAAACAGGAAGTAAACTTCTCTGTTATCAGTTTTTAATTTAAATAAATTATATTGTATTTACTTTATTATGCTAGTAAAAATGTGACTAAAATTTGATATTTATAGAGCAAATAATTTTTAACTTCTTAATCTCCTTTAATTATTAATTAAAAATCTTTAAGTACAACTTTTTAATTTTAATTTTATATATTGAATTATCGGTGTTTTAGACTTAAAGCAATTAAATCTTAGAATTTAGTTGTATTGAATGTATAAGAATAAACAAATTATGTTCTTGATCATGTTTGATGGGTATCCTGCTCCCTGGCAATGTGTTTTATGTAATCTAGCTCTTTTATTCTATTTAATACTGTAAAATGCATCAACTTGGAAGCATGAATACTCAAATGACCATGATCAAGGGCTTAATTAATAACTGAAAAATAAATTTGTAAAGTAAATAAAAATAAATATATATAAAATTTATAAAAAGATTATAGTTTTTATTTTAATATTATAAACTTTAGTTCCTTTTTCCTCTTTTTCTAAGTATTTTTAACTTCCTTTTTGTATACTGTTAAATAGATGTTGTGATAGGAAATTTTATTAGATTATAAATACATAGAAATTAATGAAAGAAACTTATATACCAATGATATTATCTGTAAATGGTTTTGAATTTCTGCAGTTTTTTTTTTAATTGCTTAGTTATATTTTGCTTATGGTTTCTGAGTCTTGGCTGTATTCTTTTTCCAGGACTTGAGGTGATTTTTATTAATTATTTATAATAAAAAATACAGTAGAACCATTGATTATCCAGGGTAATTGGACTGATGCTACCTTCAATAACTATAAACTTAGATAAAATAGATAATGTTGACTATTTTAGATTAAAAATTATAAAAGCTTTTATTTTTTTATATCTTAGGGAATGTAATCATATATAAGAACAACAATTTTACATAATTTATTATACAGTTAATATACATACAATAGTTTTAAGAATAAAATGTGTATTATTATAGATACACTTTAATATGAATGGTTTGTCTCACATTGAAGTTTTAAATGATAAAAATTAACAGAAACAAATCATTTTGTAATACATGTTATTCTTTTAAACTTTTATTTTATGAATTACATTATAAGAAAAGTAATGGATTAATTTACAGCCTTTGTTGATTGTGGTACTACTGCTTGTGAAAAGTAACATACAAGGTAGCTTGAAAAAGTTCTTGGAATTGGTTTATTACTCAAAAGTATGTGTACAATTGATAAATCAAGCAACATGTCCTTCAAAGTATTGTCCTTCGGCACCATACACTTTTGCTAGTGCTGGTATAGCTGCTGAAAACATTCTTGGAAACCATTTCTGTATAACCTCATCTGCATTCTTGATGGCATCTTTCAACTAGAGATTCAACATTAGGATCCTGAAGCATCTTCAAGGTCTCAGGGATTTTCCCCAATAACATGCAAAATTTGATATTTGCATGTTGTTTTTTCACAGACATTTTCGCCAGACTCTGTTTTACAACTTCTCACTAACACAACCTTCATTGAATGGTAACTGTTGTCATCTTTGCAGCGAGTACAGATTTGTTTGAACACATTTCTCTATTCCTGACATGTTTAACTAAGATATGCATTACATGTTCTCTTTTTCATTGCCTTTAAGTGTCTAACCCAGTATAACTGCAGGAACTTTTCGAAGCTACCTTTTATATCAGATGTAAACAAATGTTACATATATAACCAGTGACAGATCTAGGGAAAAAATTATAGACAGGACACCAAATTAATTATATCAGTATCTTATATTGTTTTAAAAATGTTTCTATCTTTGTTTATCCTAAACAATTTCAATTATGTGCAAAATGAGTGCCAAAGAGAAGCAAAACCCGTGATTCATATAGTAAATGAAAATAAAATTTGTTTTTGTTATGCTAAAGGATAAATGGTGCTGTTTATGTCTTACTATCCTTATCAAAATGAAGGATAGTAACAACAGTTTCATGCAACTGATAAGCATAACTATGTTTTGAAGTATAACTTTATAAGATTATATACAGTAATACCCCAAACTTATGTGATAGGTGGGACTGAGTGATAACCACTTAAGTCGAATTTGCGTAAGTCAGGGATAATTTTGCAATTTGTGTAAAATCCAAGTCGGATGTATGTAAGCTAATAAATGTTCTTGTTAATCTTATTTTGTCTTTTGATTTGCTCATGGTTACAAGAAATCACCACATAGAGTCTCTCGAGTCTCTGTAGATATAACAAACACAGAAATAAATAACACAAAATAAATTGTAGCTATGCGTCAATTCCATGCGACACATCCAAACATGTAAGCTGAACAATAATGTGGGTGGAGTGAGTAATCAAGAGTTGCGTGGCGTTCAAACAAAAGATGAATCGACAAGATTTGAAAATCGCGTAAGTCAGGGTAGCGTAAGTCGAGGTATTACTGTAATAAACTTTTATAAAATAATAAAAATAATAAATGGATCATTGATACTTTTGACTTGTAATGGGTTGTCCATAAATTATGTCTGCATTTTTGTTGTCCCAGCTTGTGCAAGTTTCCATAGTTCCCTCCCCTCTTCAGATGTTCAGCAAAACTCAATCTCCTTAAAACCTCTATTACTTTATGAATGATAGCTATCATAAGTAGAAATGAAACATACAAGAAATTTTGAAATATATGTAATAAATCCATAAATTGTATAAAATTTAATGAAATAAACAGACATCTACTGAAACTCGACCACTCCCCTCCCCTTGTCTGACTTTGTCCAATTTGTTGTAACCCCCTCCCCCCTTTCAATGTGGATGTCATTTATGGACAGTTCCTAAAAGATCACATCTCACTATAAGTTGGCCAAGTCTGTTCTAAAAAAGTAACTTAAAAATATATAAATTTAGATTATATTAAAACATTTGTGAATATACTTTCTGATGGCATGTGTCCTTTTATTTCTACTCTGAATCCATACATGCATTTAAATAACTAAGATTACTAACTTGCTAGATAAGAATGTTAATTATGTGAATGGACTGACTTGGTTGAATTTGATTTACTGTATATTCAAATTAATTATAATATTATTGTATTACGTAAGAAAGAAACATAGTTTGATACATAAAATAATGAATAAAGTTATATTTATTGCAGTTATTAAATAGCTGCATTAGTTTGTAATAAAAGCTTAATTGTTAATAATACAATACTTACTTTTTCTGAAGTAGAAAATTATAATAAATATGATACTTTTTATATTACATTTGTAAATTTAACTTTATAAAACACTTGAGTCTCAAGATGTTTTCTTCCAGGATTTGAGAAAAGAAAAATCTTGATATTTCTTACGAATTCTCTGATCGGATAATAAGAGACAAACTTTGAAGGTGACGTTACAATGCAATATTAAAACGAAAAGTTGTTTTATGTATTGAGAAGAACAAATGTAGAACTGATGAACGTTCATATTTTGTTGTATTTGTATTGTTTTTCTAACTTGTTATCTAACTAAATTTTATTATTGAAAAATTTTCCTTTCATAAAGTATATTAAAATTTAATTTCAAACTCATCGTAGAATGTAAAAAAAAAATTCTGTATTTAGAGTCTATTGTACTTAAATTTGTTAATTTATTCTTTTTAAAGTTAATGTAATTACTGAAAATCAAATATTAAAATAAAATTGTGGCCAATCACAATGCTGAGCCACAATTTTTAATTGTATGTTAAATTTTAAAACTTTACACTCCAGACCAGAATTTGTATATACTGAATTGGGACCTTTGCCCCTAAGCTTTCCATATCCGGTCTTAATTTTCACCTATCTAATTTCATTCTAGAGATTAACAAAGGACAGACGGATGACAATGGGAATGTATAGGTCTGCACTTTGAATTGCAGCCCAAAAACGAATTACATCTACACATGAAAAATGTTAAATTTATGCTTTTTAGTCCTTAAATATTTCTAATAACAGTTAACTTTATAATTTATGAAATTTTCCAAACATGAATTTATTAATTATATTTATGAATTTTTAACATTGACAACTAGTTTTACTAATATATTTTTATACAAAGTAATAAAGTTTATCGGAAATAAAAATTAATTAATGTATAATTTATAAGTTTAATTGTATAAATTGAATTTTTATATGGACATTGACATTTCAATAGTTATTTTATTAGAGATTTTATAGATTTATTTTATAATTAATTAATTTGAATAAGCAAACATTAATCACAGTTTTTTTATACTGATTAATTAATAATTCAGGTTATAGACAGGTACAGTACATGATTAAAATTGATGTGTACTGAAATCTACCGAGTTATGTAAAGTAGTAGTAGTAGTAGTAGTAGTAGTATTTTTACATTTTATTTATTGAATGGCACTCTGCTTACAGTTTAATTATATTTTAAACATAACTTACATTAATATTTTATTAATTTCAGGCTCAGAGTAAAGAAACAGGACAGTTGACAGCTGCTAAAATCTGTGAGCTAAAAGGTGAAGATGACCTTGAAGATTTTATGGTGGAGATAGATATTTTAACAGAATGCAGGCATCCAAATATAGTTGAATTGATCGAAGCATTTTTTTACGAAAGCAAGTTATGGGTATGCAATTTGTTAATTCGTTATAATTGGTTTTAAATAATTAAGAACGAAATCGTATTTTTGCTATCGAAGAAATATATATATTGCTAATGTTAAATGGATTAATATTTTTTTAATATTCTATGATAAATTATTTAGGAATTTTATTTTTAAAATAGTCAAATAATTTCCTGATATTGGTTAATAAATGCTTGCTTTTAAATTCAGCTTAGTTTAAATTTTATAGGCAATTATATATATCATTGAATATTTATATGAATTTTTGTAGAATTCCAGATAAAATATTTTCTAAAAGTTAAAAAAAAACTGATTTTTTTTTCTTTAATTAAAATTATATTTATTTAAATAATATGCAATATTGAATAGCTATATTCTCATAAGAAATAATCTGTTTAAGACAATTTTTATTCTAAAATACAGTTTTTTTAAACTCTTTTCATCCTATGGTCATGTTTTTAGTCAGCCCATTATGGCTTCGGCCTGGTCCACAATGGGGTGGCATGTGGTGAAGGACAGAACCCAACATATTCGTATGGACCACTTCTGAAATATTCCTCGGATTTTTCGATCTTGAGTCCTCCACAGTGATGGAATGCAACCTTAACTGTTCGGTCATTCGGCTATCTCTAAAATACATTAAGTTAGAATAGGTTACTAGATTAAGTAGTATATTTGTTTGTAGGTACTATTATGACATATTTTTCAAGAAAAATTGATACATTATTTATAATAATTCCTTTTTTAGAAGACAAAAAAACTGTTTTAATTAAAAATTTTTTTGTCTTGAAGAAGATTTAGAAGTTATCATCATTATGTCAATTTATAGAGTCATTGTTACCTTATTTAGAAGATAAATTAATTAAAATAATATTATATAATAAATGCTTATTTATAATTTTAAACTATTAAAAAATTCTTAATTTGATTATATCTTCCTAATTTTTTATATCGCTGTATCCACAAGTTTCCAGAATTCGTAATTTTTTTTGTCCGATGGTTTTTACTTTTTAATATTTGAAGACAAGTTCGCCCAAATAGGGATCACCATTTGGGTGAACTTGTCTTCAAATATTAAAAAAAAAAAAAAAAAAAAAAACACAAGTAAAATGGCAAAGCCATTCTTGGGACGAGACTGTCTCAGAGAGCGCAAGCAATGCATGCACAAATCTTGCA